CCTGACACCTGACTCTTCTTGTGGGTCTGGAGGGAAGAAGGGGTTGTGGAAGTGAGTCTTGGTGAGTAGAGATGTTACAGAGATATTTTGTTTTATTTTTGAATGATCATGACAAAGATTCTTCCCCCCCCCCTCTTCCCACCCCCCATCTGTGAGGCGTTCATTGTTCTCAGTCTAGTTGTGGAGGATGCCTCTTCACTGGCCCATATTGGTATTATAATCATAGTGCTCTTCCTAGCTGAGACAGATCGGTCACTGGCCATTGGACAGCGGCTCACGGCGGCTCACGGCGGCTCACGGCGGCTCATGCCAGGTGCCGGCTGTGGCTCACGGCAGCCCACAGCAGCCCACAGCAGCACAGGGCAGCTTCATGGAAGCACATGGTAGCCCACGGCACTCATGCTGTCCGCTGACCACTCATTGCAGCCCAGCTCCACCTCAAGCCGTTGTTCACAATGTTAGTTGTAGAGGGCACAGCTTACTGGCAGAGCTCACTGGCCCATGTGGGAATTGAACCGGCAGCCCTGTTGTTCAGAGCTTGTGCTCTTACCAACTGAGCTATCTGGTGACCCCATGACAAAGATTTTTAAAATTATTATTATTAGTTTCAGGTGTACAAAACAACCACAAAGAGTTTTAAGCAAGGGGAGGATAGTTTCTCTATGTTGGGGTGGGGTGGGGTGGGAGATGTACTCCCACAGACACAGGAGATTTGAAGGAATCAGCATGTTTAAGCTGCTTACTGGTCTCCATCCCAATGTATCCATGACCAGACTTCAGCTCACAAAGTGTTTTGAATACTTGTCACAGAATGGCTGCCACAGGATCCCAGAGGCTTTCTCTGCAGGGAGGTGTGTGAGCAGAAGCTTATCTTTTGTTCATGGATACCAGGAAGTCATTACAAAGCAGGTGTTAGAAAACTGGTAAGACCTCTTGCTGGGCTGGCTGCCAGGGGGCTGGACTCAGTCCATGCTCTGTCCTAACTCTGTGGTACCTTCTGTTGGTTGCCACTGCCTCCTGGGACTTTGCCTCTCTCTCATTTCTCAAAAGACAATGTCATACAACACCGTTCTCAAAGTAGTTTTAAACCACAGAATCATTTCCTCAAAGTAAAGTTTGTACTTAAACCAGCGTGTGGCTTAGCAGCTTTTTAAATTACCATTTTTGTTTTGCTTTGAATGTTTTCCTTTGTCTTTTTTAGTCAAGGCACCAGGTCCTTCGTAAGTCTTAGATGTGGGGATTTTTTCAGCTCCAAAGCAGTAGCTGTGTGACAAGACAGCTCTTCCTTGTAAAAGTGCCCAAGGTGATTCAGCGATTTTGTTGCTTCATGCTTTGTGTGCAACACGATGTGAGAGGCCATATGGGCCTTTGAGGGCCAGGTGATCTCAGAGTATTCAGCCCATGCCAGAACAGAGTGTAGTATTTAGTGTATTTGAGGCAGGTGGGCATTTGCCCAGAGCTGGAACTTAATGCTCAGCTCCCAGGCAGTGTCCCATGAGTGTGGCAAGGTCTGGAGGGATGGCAGCTGGGAGGGTCTGGTGGGGTGAGCCCAGCAGAGGGAAAGCTGGCTCAGTAAAAATTTCATATTCTTGAGATATGTATGTGTGGCCTCCAAGCCAAGAACTTTCCAATGTTGAAAAGTCTAGGTGGTCTTGGATACCATGGATGTGGTGGTAACCATGATGGCTTAAAAAGTAGAGGCTTTCTATATGAGGGCCAGTGACACTGCCCTCTGCAGCTGAGATGCTGAGCAACAGCTCACCCTGGAGCTGGGCTGCCATCATTCGCCGGCAATGGCATACGCTGCAGCCCCTGTGGCCAGCAGCCAGCGTGAGCGGCCAGCAGCTGCAGTGAGTGGCTGTCCAGAAGCCGGTGACTGATCTGCCTCACCTGGGAAGAGTGCAATGATGGTGCCAACTTGGGCCAATGAAGCAACGTCCTCCACAACTAGACTTAAGAAAACGACAGCAACTTGTCTGTTCCCCTTCCCCCAATTCCCCAGCGCTGTTCTCATCTCCCAAGTTCCCCAACAAAAATCTTAAAAAAAAAAAAAAAGTCTTCAGACATTGCCAAATATTCCCTGGGGAACAAAATTAATTAATATAATAATATATAATATTAATCNAACAGATGGTTGCCGGACACAACAGTGGGTAACTAATAAATGTTTTAATCACTAAAGGAGGAATTGATAATTTTCAGTCTAGAGATGGAAGTTTATTAAGTGCCTGGCCGAGTGCCCTCCACCCTCTCTGCCCAATACAGTATTGGCCTGTGCCCCACAGAAGATGGATGGATGAATTCCGGGGTGCCTCAGTCTGATCTCAGCAGTTTGAGGCGTTTCATTGTTTTTTCCATCCAGGGCAAAAACTTCGAGATCCTGGTGTAGACTCCTGGAGGTTTTCCATTGTTTTTTCCATAGGAGACAATGCCTTGGGCCATGTTGTTACATATGAGGGGGCCCCCGGAATCCTCCTGTGGGCAGTGGAATGTGGGACTGAGTTGGACCTCCTCCTGGTCCTGCCCTCCTTTTGCCCCAGGAATGGGTGGTCTCTGCATGGGAGAGCAGTGCCAGGGCAGGCCTTGTTACCTAGGTCCCAGAGTTCCAGCCTGGCTCTGATAGATCCCTTACCCTTGTCCATAAAGCCTCTGTCCATAAGTGGCTGTGGGACAGTCTCCCATTACCCCCAGGGAGACAGCATCAGAGACTGGATTGGGGGAAAGTCTGAGGACATAGGCATATGGCTGGTTCCCACAGCCCTGGGTCTCCTCAAAGCTTGACTGTGCCTATAGCTGGGCATGGACCATGCTGGGATCTTACCTTAAAAGTAGTCTGAATCTTTTTTGGGTCCCCCCCACATATCTGGATGGTGTTATTGTAATGTTTGTAGCGAGAGGTGCATTCTTCTTTGCTCTGGATTTCAAGCTTTACGTAGTGCAGTTTCCCATCACCACTGGTGTTTACACCCAGGTATCCCCAGCCGGCCACGCTGCACACCATCCCTAGGTACACCTCATTTCTCCTTGTGGGCATTTTGATGGCCCAAACAGCATTATTCAGTTTGGCCATCTTCTCCAGCTGTAGGGAGAGGACAGGAATTCTAATCTACCCGTGTCCCACAATCTGCAGGGACAGTCACGTGGTTGCCATCTTCACAGCCCTGGGACAAGTCAAGGGGCCATATTGGGGCTGAGGACAGGACAGAGGTCATGCAGATGCAAAACCCTGGGGTCAGAGTGTGGAAGAACCAGTGGAGCCTTACCTGCAGTAACATGATGTCGTTTGCATATGGAGGATTATTATAGTTTGGGTGGCGTATAGCTCTTTTCATCCTAATTTCCTGCTGGGTCGTCTCCTTCTGTTTGATGT